ACAGGAAGCCCCAGGCAGAGTTGCTCTGCCCCGGGCTTCCTGGAATCAGCTGCTGATCAGTTTCAGCAGCAGCTGACTTGGGGGTCTTAAGTTGAATCTGTATGTAAGTCAGAACTGGTGTCCAGATTCAGCCACTGTTGAAACTGATCAGTTTCAGCAGCGGCTGAATCTGGACGCCAGTTCCGACTTACATACAGATTCAACTTAAGAACAAACCTACAGTCCCTATCTTGTACGTAACCCGGGGACTGCCTGTACTCAGAGATATGCAAGTACAAGAACGAGTCTAGAGCAGTGGTCTCCAACCTTTTAAAGCACAAGATCAATCCAGAATCTACCTCAAATTCAGATACTCTTGTCCCGCCTCCTTCATGCCTCTTCTCCAAAGCCCCACCCCTGCTCACTCTGTCCTCTCTTCCTCCTCTTTCCTCCCTCCCTTATACCAGGCAGGGCCAGAGGGTTGGGGCACAGGCTCTGGTCTTGGGCTCAGGGATTTGAAGTGAGAGAGGTTTCTGAACTGAGCCTGAGACAGGGAGTTGAGGTGCAAGAGGGGGTTCAGGGTACAGGCTCTGTAAGGGAGTTTAGATCTAGGAGAGCTCAGGGCTGGGGCAGGGATGTAGGAGGAGGAGTACATGACTGGGGCAGGGGTTCGGAGCTGGATCCAGCTGGACACTGTTTACTTCAAGTGGCTCCTGGATGGTGGAGCTAAGGCAGGGTCACCCTTGCCCTGGCCCTGCAGCACTCTCAACAGAAGCCAGCAAACTCCCTCCATCCCAAGCCCTGTTGTATAGCTGCCCTCCGTTCTGTGGAGATAGAATACAGGGTGGGAGAGGGGGTACCCTGACAAAAGCATCCTCCTCTCCCTTCTCTGCACAGCAAGCAGGAGGCCCAACTCCAAGGCAAAGGGCAGGAGATGAGCAGCAGAGGGGGAGGGGCAGCTGAAGTGCCAGCACTTGATAGCCTCTTGGCCAGTCAGGATCCCCTGTCACAGGCAGGATGCAAAAGGGGCAGTGAATGCTTTAACATCGACTGTGTGTGGGTCAGTACTAGCAGCCAATTCTTACCAGGGCACCATCCTGGCTCACATTAGCTCACTTTCACTTCTGCACAAAACTGGTATTAGGATGACAGCAGCAAGGTTGCCAACTTTCTGGTTAAAAAAACCTGAACAGAGTTTTCCTGCCTCTTCCCCATGGCCCTGCCCTGTCCTGCCCCTGCTTACTCCACCCTCCCTCCTCCTTATGCTTGCTGTAACCCAGTGTTTCTCAATCTTTGTTTATAAAGTACCCCTTTTTTAAAAAAAAATATAAGGTACCTACCCCCAGTACCTACAGTTTTCAGGCACACATTTTTTTCCTACCATTGCAACACATTTGTTTAAACAACTTAATCGTAGCTGGGGAGAGGGGGGAATGAAATTTTGGGTGTAGAAAATACAAAAATAATAAAGCGCTGTAAACACAAAAATTCCATTTTCTCCAAATTTAAGTTGTGCTGACATACCTCCCAGACTTCTTTTGAGTACCCCTAAGGGTAGTTGTACCACTGGTTGAGAAACAATGCTCTAACCCACCCTTGCTTTGCTTACTGATTTTCACTGGGCTGTGGCAGGAGGTTGGAGTGTGGAAGAAGGAGAGGGCAAGGGCTCTGGCTGGGAGTACCTTCAGGGATGAGACCAGAAATAAAGGATTCAGAGCGTGGGAAGAGGCTTCGGGCTTGGGGTAGGAGGTTGGAGTGAGGGGTGCAGGCTCTGGGCAGCACTTACCTCAGGCAGCTCCCAGAAATGGTCAACTTCCATCCCCTCAAGTTTGAGGGGCAGGGGCAGCCATAAGGCTCTGCATGCTTCCCTCATCAACAGGTGCCACCCCGCAGCTCCCATTGGGTGTGGGTATTATGGAGACGGGGCTCAGAGTGGGGGCAGGTTGTGGAAGTTTCTGTGCCTTGGAAATGGATGGAAATGCCAGCTTCTTCCAGTAGCCATGTAGAGCCAGGGCAGGCACTAAGCCTGCATTAGCACTGCTGCACCACTAGCCAGACAATTTGTATAGTGTGCGGGTGTGTGTGTGTGGGGAGAGGGGGTGCTAAGAGCCACTGAACCAAACTGTAAGTCTCCTATATAAAATGAAAACTACTTCAAGTCAGACAGTGCTACAATACCCGCCACACTCCTAATTCCAGTACATATGAAAATATGTTGTTCATGATAAAAAAAAAATCTTATAATTGTTTTCTGAGAAGCCGTCTAGAATCTCCATGCTTTGGAGCAGGTATTTAAAATTTGGCAGAGGGTTGGCCCTGGTGCCAGCGATGGGATGAGCCTTTTGCCATTTTTGTGAAAATCTGCCTAAATTTGAGCATTTAAGCTTCTGAAAAAAATTGCTTTGCACATGATCAACAGGCTTGTTAGAAGCAGACCCTAAATCCTCTGAAAATTCCACCTGCATTGATCATATTCCACCTCAAAAGCTGCAGGGGCTGATCAGAACTTTTCCTGCAATTCCACTTACTGGTTTCTTTATTGGTGCCAGGCACAGGGACTGAGAGCAAGGAGACACTTCTCAAAACTGCCTCTATAGTCTATACAAACTCAGAAAGCATGGAAGAAGAGGAGAAATCAGTTTGATTCACAGGGAACTTTGGAAGTAGGGAAGGGGGAAACAGAGGGAAAATAAGAACAGAGAGGAAAAGAGGTGCTAGAGGGTAGGGCAAAGAGGGGTATATGGGTTCAGACAGAGAGGGAGCCAGAGAGCTGGATAAATGGAGGCATACAGGAGCAAAAGTAGGCGTTGTCAGACAGTTGGCAAATGGAATAGGGAGGGGGGTAGGAGCTGAGAAGCCAGGACATGGGTTCAGATAGGAGCAGAGCAGGGGGGGACAGGGTTAGTGGGTGGGAAGAAGCAGAAGTATGGTGGTGGCAGGAAGTGGGGGGACAGAGT